GAAAAAAAACGAAAGTACTTATGTGCCAACCCAATAGTTTAGCACCACGCCAAACGCAGCCTCATTGACAAGCCCAACCGTCCGCAGCGAACTACACTATACTTCCTGGGGAAATTGCTCTCGGTTGTGATTCTTCCCATTTCTCTCCGTTTTATATCTTCCCCTCCCCACAACGGCTGTCACGCGAAACTTCCTCCCCCGCGCGTAAATCTGACCACAAAAGTGAGTGTTGGAGCCATCGTTGTGATCATCACAAGGGGGGGGGATCGTATTTGGTCAGTTCACGGACGCACTACTATTTCCGACACTTGAAAATGATAGTTTAATTCTGACGACCTCCCCCCGCTCGACGGCTCGGTTCGATGAGGAAGGACAGAGGGCTGGGAGGGGGTCGTACCAACTCCCAAAAAGGGTCGTATTTTAGTATGGAATTAGGGGGGGGGTCGTAATTTTCAGAAAATGATCACAACGCGATGGCGTGCCCTGGTTGAAGCGCAATACCCCCTGCATTGTAGATGCTGTCCTGTGATTCTACGAAGTGTTTCGAGTTTCATTCTTACATAGTTTCTTCATTTGTATGGTGTTCAGTACTGGAAGCTGCTGAGAAGCTTCGGTAATTCTCAGTTTCTCTCTATGGTTTTCGCCCGCGTATATTTCAGGGAGAGTGCTTGAAAAACGAAAGCGCTCTTTCAGCGCAACTAAAGGGGCGGACAAACAACAGACCGTGAAAGGGGGTCGAAGCGACCCCAAAGGAGTGGGGGGAAGGGTCGTATGAACTCGACCGAAATCCCCAATCCATGATGTGTCCTAGTTTGATATGATATCGTTCACGAAGGCATACAACACCACAGGACCATATGTCAGAATCGATGGTTCGATGAGCTTCACAAGTCAATTACCGCTACGTAGTAAAGTTTGACGGATATTTGTCCTCCTTCCATTTCTACATGATGTGGGTTGTTGCTGTATCTTATGCTTACTATCAACGCTGCGACATTATTGTGAAGGTATATGACTAGTAGTATAGTTCGAGTGGTCTGGAAAGTCATGCTCAAAGTCGTCAAATAGTAAAGATCCATTGGAAAGACAAGTTGGTTAACTTTCTTCATCTACGAAGATATGTCACGAGAAATGTCTCAAACGGTTTTGTAGAGCTTTCTCTTGTCAAGTGGTGTCCTAGATGTTTCCGTTAGCTTTGAAACGAAAATGCCTGGAAATACACTCTATCGAGAACAAACAGGCGCAGATGTGCCATCACATTCCCTTTGTATGGGGCGACTGAAGTTCTCTGCCAATGCCATCTGGTCACCGGGGTTCACCTGCGGTGGGAAGGGTTGCGCTCGGTGTGTACACTGTGGTCACGCAATTCATGTGAGCCGTTCACTCAGGCCCTTGCACACGCGCGTCACCTCAGTGATTGCCTCGCTCAGGCGCCCGGCCGCCCGAAGCCTACAGCGCAATGAAGACCTCGAACCGGCAACCAACCCATTAAATGACTATAAAAAACTATTCAAGAAATGTGATGAGAAAAGCAAACATGATAAACAACAACCCACGAAATTGATGAAGTGATTCACTACTCTGAAAATGAGTCAGGAAAAAGAAACAGGAAAATAACTACCAATCAAAAGGAGGTACCGCCCTAGCCTGCGAAGACGGACTTTGCCTAATTCTTACGGGCCCGACGCTACAGCCCACCGAGGGCAATGGAAACACCCTCCCCTATGGACTATCCAAGAAGTTCTGATGCATCTTCGCTCCTGGTAGTACGTGGGACGTTCGGCGGCTGTGCGATGATCCAGCTCCCTCGCGTCATACGCCTTGTTGGACTTGAACGGCGCCCAGCACGGACGAGTAACGACGTTGACGGCAGGACGAACAGCGGAGCGGGGCGACCAGTCGGAATGGCAGCAGACGTAGACTGACTGGCGGCTTCAGCCGATGCCGCCACTGCGTCCTTAGCGGCATCTTAAAAGTTTTTAGCTGAGCGCGCCAGGACCGTTGCGCCTACCATAAACGCTACCCCTTAGAAAGAGACGTATGAAAACCACAACACCATTCTGATAGTATAGGGGAATGTTACCACAATGAAAACAAAGTGCTGGATATTATGAACCGATTTGCTTCCAATTTCTTCACTACTGCGCGTAGGTTGAACCTATGGTAATGGTACTGATCGTTGACAGGATTCCTGTATTGACCCCGAACATTCGCACCGATTACAATTTTTTTAGAATACGGCCTATTTCATTATGATTCTCCTATTTAATGAACGTTTGCTAATGTCTGGTGCTTATCACATTTCTAAGAAACACTCATCATCCGTTGGAAATAGGACAGCTTAGCGGTTGAAAGACTTTTGATGGTAATAACATCGATATCATGGTGATATATCCTCACATTTCTCACATCCTAGTACTTCCGTTGAGCAGCTTCCTAGGCCTTTTGATTTTCGTCGAAACTCGAGAGTTTAGCGGTCGTAAGCATATCGCTAAGGGATAGAATACTTGACTCACGAAGCCGCTAATAATTGTTCCTTGCGGGCACGCGTGCTCGAAGTTTCGTGGGTGGCATGCGACATGATAACAGCTTATCAGCTCGTCAGCTGTCATCATCTCCTGCCACCCACCAATAATGTTCCCATCCTGCCCCCTATCTAACTTCTTGGAACCCATATCCCGTCGTCGCTGTGGTCCGCGCTAGATGAGCTGTGACCCTTCCTTTTTAAGGCCCCTTGTAGTATCTTATCAGCTCTTATCACTTTCCTGTCACCCACCAATAATGTTCCCATCCTTGAACCCTATTTAACTTCTTGGAACCAATATCCCATCTCTAGTGGCCGGTGTTATGAATTAGGTAACTCACTCTTTTCAAGACCCCTTGTGATATCTTACAGCTCTTATCACTTCCTGCCACCCACCAATGATGGCAGAGATGGTCCCATCACTGCTCTCTACTATCGTTAACTATATTGCGGACCAAAGCACTCTAGTCTTGCTGTAAGGACGAGCGGAGGGGGGGCGCGTTATGAATTTGCTGACTTCGCCTTTATACGGCCCTTATGGTATCTTATCAACTGCTATCGCTTGCTGCCACCCACCAATAATGTTCCTGCCCGACCTCCCTACATCAATCTATCGAGATTTGAGCGCATTGTAATTTTTTGAAGAAAATTTTTGAATTTCCGTCAAACACACCACAGAGACATTCACCACGACACACACACCAATCACACACACACACACACACACACACACACACACACACACACACACACACACACACACACACACACACACACACACACACACACCAACAGACAAACTTAGCGGATTATATATAGTAGGATCCCATTCAAAAACTTGGGAGGTTTCATTCAGATAAAACGAAGAGGAGAACAGATGAAACAAATACTATTTTGGAGTTTGGAAGAGATGAGTTGGTCCCTCTTTCATCAGTGACCCGCTCCCACACCCCTCCAGCGTTTGGACTGATGCCACCTTAGCTTCTTTCCAAGTGCAAGTAAATTCTCATGATGCCAATCTCGACGGATGACAAAACGTCGCAGCGTTTATCGTTAGACAGAACCTCCCTCTAAACAGGCTCCGTGTACAAACTCACCCGTGCGCGTATGCGGCGCGGTTTCTTCACGGCACCGCGGCGACGGGCGGGCGAAGGGTGATCGCTTGCGCCTCCGCCACTGTGCTTCAATCAGAAGCCCCTTTTATGCCCCATTATGTGGAAGGAGGAGGAGAGAAAAGAGGATTGAACAAATAGTGAACGCTCATAGGTGAGTTAGTGGTAATGGTGAGCAGAGAATACAGAAAAGTCGAGAATCAGAGCGTATTATTTCAGTCAACAGCGGAACTGGCAGAATGATTCCCTTCGAATGGGACGTGACGTTATAGCGTTATAAGGTCACAACCAACTGTTGGCAATTTGCCAAACCTCAGCTTGAACTTCGTGTAAAAGCTGCTTGCGTCGTTTTCACAATCGAAGGGAACTATGCCGCCAGTTCTGCCATTCACTGAAGTAATTCGTGATAGTCGACTTTTCTGTGATCTCCTCACTACCACTAACTCACATATGCACCCACTATCTGTTCAATTCCCTTCCTCTCTCTACTTTTCCCTCCTCTTCCTTCCACATAAAAGAGGCTGCTGGATTGGAGCACAGCGCCGGAGACGCGGGCCATCGCCTTTCGCTCCGCCCTGCCGCCGCGGCGCCGTGAAGAAACCGCGCCGCATACGCGCATGGGTGAGTTTTTCCTTCCTGCCGCCTAAACAGAGCAGGTGGGGTTGCAGGGCTGTAAGGTCAAGCGAATAAGGCGATTGAACTGAGCTCTCAGCAGTGAGGATGTATCGATATAATGATGATCCGCTTGGGTCCACGTAACCTCATGCTAGAATTTGGGCGGCTTGTCATCTTCAGTCATACAAAATTAACACCTGGAGTTCACATTCACAGCTAACAATCGTGAATAAACGCTTAGGCGATAGACATTGCTGCCGCATGCATCGGATCGCTTGTGCGTTCATGTTTCTTCAAGAAAATGAGGTACTCAAGCACAACGCTTCTGACCATCATCAGTTTTTCGGACGTGACCCGCGCTGCGGTCGCAGCAGGGATGTCGGCCTCGCGGGGAAGCTCGACATTGGTTTAGCCTCTGTGATGAGAAATTCACGCTTGACTTCATCCATCCGCTTTTACTGTGCAGCATAAACATTATGGGGTCCACCTCGGCCACAAGTTTTTCCGTTGGTTCCCCTTTGGACTTCGGAACTGAATCTTCCACGTTCAGTATGAAGAACACTCCAAAAACGTTCTCTCCTCGCCATGTGTTCTCTCATGCTGGGGTCGGAATGGAGTCCTATAGCGAGCCCTTCAATACCTTGTCACCGTTTGAGCCTCACAACCCAACATTTGTAGTCACTAGATGCACTTCATAGTGATATGTAGTCGTTACGATCATCGTCTTCAGGTATACAGTACAATGTGCTTTGCTTATCAACATTATCAACGAGAAAGTTTTCGCCTTCTTATGGTGCTGGTATCTGCTGCTGGTCGTCATTACAACGTAAACTCTATCATCTCTGAGCATTGAGTGAAAAGACACAATTCTCAAAATTCTGGAAATTAGAGAAAAATCGGAGTATTTCAGTATCTCGACGCTATGCTGGACAATAAACAGTATTGTACCGTCCGAAAAAATCGACTACGTGCTGAAATTCATGCAAATTGCGCAATCAAGTGACATGAAAAAACGCCTGAAGTTCCTCAAGGTTATCGTACTATCTTGCATTTCTGACTTTTAGGGAACTTTTTGAGAGGCTCCCTAGTAAGTTAGGACCCATAATTCAAAGCGACTTTTCAATGATGGTTCTCTCACCATCAGCAGATTGGAATAAAACAATCACCATCACAGAATCAGAATTCTTATAATTAGTTGCTTCAGGGGAATCCTGTCGAACGCGTCTACTCGGTCATCCCCTTCGCACCACATCTCCTTGACCGATTTGTTCTTCATTTCCTCAAATCGGATGGGGTAAGTCGCAGTTATCGAATCGCTTAGGCGTTCATAGTCTGCGACACTGACGAATCGGAAAAAGAAACTCTTCCGTAGAAAGGTTTCAAGACGTATGGATAGGCGGAACCGGCACGCCCAACAAATCCGGCGTCGCCGAGAAAAGGTTCAGATACGGCTAATGCCGTTTGGACTCCAGCAACTTCGGCACCGAGCTCATTTTTAAATTGCCTAAGTTACCAAATCCGCTAAAAACTTGTATGTAGGGGTAGTTTAACATCCTGATTACGAATATGACATTCACTCTTGCCGCTGGCGCTAATGGATGACACTACGATTACCTGCGCTCCGCTAAGGCTGAGCCCAAGAGGTAATCGTAGTGTCATCCCTTGGCGCCAGCGCCAAGAATGAGTGTCATAATTGTAATCAGGATGGTAAATAACCCTTGTGTACATATTTTCAGCGGGTTTGGCGACTTAGGTAATTTAAAAATGAGCTCGGTGCCGAAGTTGCTGGAGTCCAAACGGCATTAGCCTTCAGATACGTATTGACCGAGAGCACTAGCGACTAAGCGGAGCCGGCGCTTTTAACGCTCTACGATTCTTCCCTGGGACCTAATCAGCGAAATCGACATGTGTCCCGTTTCGCGGGGGGGGGAGGCCGAATTTGCCGGCGTCTTGCCAGAATTCGACGAATCTTCAAGTCGATACGTATTCATTGCCGCCGTTTCTCCGATTCGCCAGGGTCGCAGACTGCCGATCATAAGAGCAAAGTGAGAACTTCTGGTCTGTCATCTTCATTTGCGCCTTTTTCTCGTACCTTCCCAATGAAGGAGTGGCGTACAAGAGAGGAAGACTCACTTCTCCTCTCATTCAAGCATATTTCGCCCAAAACGAAAAGAGTGAAATTCAATTGAAAGGTCCGCCGCTCTACACAGCCATAGTGACAGATGACTGTGAGCAGTTTCGGCGACCCACGACCACGATCTCTCCGATCACGTCCTTTGCTCTCGCTCTGCTCGTATACTTGCGCTCGCTAGGAGATTTTGTTAGGGATACTTGGACCCCTTCATCTGTCTTTTATTCACCATTGACTTTTTTGGCACCTTGGCAATCACAATCCAGAATATCTGATCTTGTCCTTCGCTTTGAGAGCACCTGAAACCTTCCTACGGCGCTACAGACAGCGGCGCGGAATTAGCCACTAAGCGTATGTCGTCCTCGTGTGGGCACCTATGTGAAAGCATAGAATATACTCTGTGACGAGAAAGTGAACCCTCTCCGGCTGCTCAGCATCTTCCGCTATCTCCTATTTCGATGGAACTGATTTCCTAGAAGCAAGATGTTCACATGGTTAGCATAGCGCTTAGCCCCCACTGACCAGGACGTTCTTGAGAGCGTTTGCCCAACAGAAGTAAGAATCAGAGATACTTGTGGTGGTAGGAACTTTAAAGGCTCAACTTTATGAACAGCCCCATGCATTCTGATCCTTGCCGTGTGTGGGGGTGGGTCCGCAGCTGCATCATCCCGATACTTTCATAGGATACCACCAGTAGCGCGAAAAATTCTCTTCAGGATGTACTCTGAGACGCAAGGGAGAATGAGTTTTTAATCAGCAATGAATGTACAAAAAATGGTAACACAAAACGCTGAGAACTTTCCGGACAACCTAATATATGATACTGCACGATCGAAGGACCGTGAAGGAATAAGGTGTAACTCGAAAACGTGAGATATGTCTTGTAGTCCTCTCTATGACAATCTTTTTGCCAATAATTGAGCATTATTGCGGTGCCCATTCGTCTACAGTTGTGAACGGCCTTGAATACGAGAAGCATTCCAGAAACGATTGCCCAAATTCATCCTTTTATGCCTTTTTGCTCTGCATATCGCCTCAAGAAGGGCATGTTTTGAAAGCACCATGGCTTAGCACTCTAATAATGGCAACTGTCAAGGTCTTCATTTTACGCATGATGGCTAATCACGCCGGTGATATTGTGGTGGTACACGTGCTGAAAGCGCTCTGGCAGGAGTTCCGTGAGCGACATTGGCGTGAATTCGAGGAATTCGAGGAAATCAAGGATCAACACTTCCGACATCTCCCCAAGGCAGCAATGGTTGTTGGGTGAGTTTTGAATCTTTCTTATTACCAAGCATATCTTACCCTAGCACAGAGCCGCCAGTGACGCTGGTTGCTGGTTGATGTTTTGGACTCAAATGACTTCAAAGATAATTTCTGAGCTCAAGTGTTACAGTAGGTGCTCAGTCATGAACCAGTAGCCCATGAATAACTTCCCAGTTGAGGAAGAATTGGAAAAAACTTTGGAACACTATGAAGAGAAACCTCCCTCAGCAACGGGGCCGGCGCCCTGGCCGAGTTTGTCGGACGTCGGCAAGCCCAACCAGCAGAATTTGATGGGCAACCAGTTTCCAGCGAGAACACAGAGGATGACCCTACGACATTTCAGGCGACTCTGTGTGCACACGCACTTCCGCTTGTGGACCGTTGTCTTGCAGAGTGAAAGTAATCGTGGTTGCAATAATCACGCGTCTCTAGCTTCTTTACCTCGCTGTTTCAAGTGAAGAAAGTGTTATACTCTCTGAGAATGCGAAAAGCAACGCTAAATGCCCAGAGGCATTTCGCGGACCACTCGATCGCGGGAACTGTCTTTTTATTCACTTCTTTATTACACGTCCGAGATGGACATGTGAATGATCACTACAAAGCGAAATACAATGGAGCCTGCTTGAAATTGTCTTAAAGTGATATTCCTGAGTTCTGAGTGTTAACTAAACTGTTTCCCATTTCAGAACCCCGTCGAGTCAACAAGCTCGGGTGGTCACCATCAGTAACCCGGTGTCTACCATTATGAATGATTCAATGAACAGCGAAAAGGGCTATCTTTGATCACCGTCAGCTGCATCTCTCCTTTTATGCTACGTGCCTTGATTCGTGTTATGCAAATGATCTCCACTTGAACAGTATAGTTAAGAGAATAAATAGTATAATTGTCTATACAATAGCTATGTTTGGCAGTGGTGGCATAACTAATAGGTTGGATAATTCTAGTGCGCTACATTCATTTTTCTTTTTCTAATCGTGGATTTTCGAAATATTTTTTTGCTTCGGCGCTACTTGGCTGCGCTCTGTCACTTCTGGTTGTTCTCTACCGTATGTATTTAGCTGCGGGACTTCGGTAACTGCGCTAGTGCAGCTGTTCAAGGACACCGCGGGCGGAGTGTGGAGCCAGCACCGAGTATCACTGCTATCCAGCCCAACCTGCCTGAATCTTTGAGCGAACAACGAGGCAAACTATTTCAGCGCAAATCCGTTGACCTCACAGCGCATACGCAGACCTTCCATTTATAAACCGTTTATTGAATCCTATTAGGTACTAACAGTTCTTGTCAACCGGAAATGATGTTCCTCTTACATATCTCATATCATACCAGTTTGGCTGACGCGCACTTCTGCGCGCATGGTTCAGTCTGTGGTCCTGATCAATGACAGGATTTCTGTGCTGACCCCTAATTGGCCTAATTCCCATGTTTCAAAATTCGGCCCATTTCATCATATTTCCATATTTCTCCTCTTTAATGAGCAATTGCCAATGTGCTTATCAGATTTCTAAAAACACAGATCATTCGTTGGCAATAGAACGGCTTAGCGGTTGAAAGGTAACAATATCGAAATCATAGTGAAATGTGCTTACATCATAATACTTCCGTTGAGCAGCTTTCACATATCCGTCTGTTGGTGGCCTTATCATTCCCCACTGGCGAACAACTTTAAGCTTTTACTTTTTGTCGAAACTCGAGAGTTTAGCGGTCGAATCAATTCCGACTATAACACTAAAGGATAGAAACACTGAGCCTTTGCCCATTGATTCCATGGGCCACGGTGGTCAACATCAGTCGCAAGCGGAGTAAAGCTGCGAACAGATACTGACCCTTGTCGTACACTATATCACAACTTATCTCCCACCACCAATGTTCCCTAACCACCTCTGAATTGCTTACTGGAAGAAGTTCCCCAGTGTACAACTCGTGCATTGAATTTTGTGGCTTCCTCTCTGAAGTGGCCCCTATGGTATCTTATCAGCTGTTGTTACGCCCTGCCACCCACCAATAATGTTCCCATCCTGCCCCCTATCTTACTTTTCGAAATCAACGTCTCATCGTTGCTGTAGTTGCTGTAGCCCGCGCTATGAATTCGGTGGTTCCCTCCTTCTAAGACCCCACTGTGTATCTTATCAGCTGTTATCACTTCCTGCCACCTACCAATAGTGTTCCTGCCCGACCCCCTACATCACTTATCAATTTGAGCGCTCTATCGCTGTTTTGAAGGAAGTTATGAATTTCCGGTCAAACACACATACAGACACACATACATACACACACCAACAGACAAATTTAGCGGATCATTTTTAGTAGGATCTTGCAACCGACATCCCGCTGCTGCTGTGACCCGCGATACGGGACTGGTGACTTTCCCTTCTAATGCTCCCATCTATCAGCTACGAACAGTTCTTGTTATCCACCAGTGATGGTCCCATCTAACCCGCTACATCACTTTTGGAACCAATGTCTTAATGCTACTGGGACGGTCGCTACGAATTTCGTGACACACAGACATATTTACTTAGCGAATTATATACTGTGGGACCCAATGATTGTCCTCCAACAACATTACTGAGTGCCGTTTAAATGTCCTGAAGCCAGGGTGCATGCAACGGTAGGACGCTCCAAGGGCAGGACGGCAGAAGCAGTACCTGGCTTCGGCGGAAAGTAAGGATGAAACCGCGAGGAGCTTCAATGGCTAACTTGGCGAGTTGCTCAGGTTCTACCGTATGCTGTGGAGATACTTTTTCGCCCAACCTAGTGAAACGAACATACGAAGTGGAAGGTTCCGGCATCGCTAACATGGTGGTATGATCCTTCTATATATAATCGGCTATGTCCGTGTGTGTGTCTGTGTGCGTCTGTCTGTCTGTCACGAAATTCATAGCGAGCGTCGCAGAAAAGATAGGATGACAGTTCCAAGAAGTGATATACACGGCAGGACGGGAACACTTTTGGTGGGTGACAGGAGGTGATAACACCTGATAAGATTCGATAAGGGGCCTTAGAAGGGGAGGGTGACCGAATTCGTAGCGCAAGTTGCAGCAGCTGCGGGACCGTGATTTCAAGGAGTGATATACATGGCAGGACGGGAACACTTTTGGTGGGTGACAGGAGGTGATAACACTTGATAAGATTCGATAAGGGGCCTTAGAAGGGGAGGGTGACCGAAGTTTGTAGTTGCAGTAGCTGCGGGACCCTGAGTGATATAGGGCGGAGCCTATTCTCCTATTGGTCCGACAAACGGACAGACAACTTCTGCTTTATATATAGAGTATGATATCTGCTGGTGTGCTGTCGGCATTAGTGCGTGCAGTACTCTCAATAAAGAGGCGCCCACATTTCCGTGACTGAGTGTACGTGCGCGACCCTCAGGGATGTCTCGCGCTCTTCTCTGTTCGTCCACGAAACTTCGGTGGTTTTGGCATCGGATATGGAGCGTTACTTTCCAGATACGGCATCGCAGTGCGAGTTCACTTGGGACATGGAGTCGACGCCCAGCGCCACGGTCATTTTAAATGGGTTCGGTCCCGCTGCGGATGCTGCGTACATCACCCCGCAACGCTTGCAACGCCTGCTTCAGAGGGCAGTAACGCTTCACACAGCTTGCGCTGGAGACGGTCGTCGAGATGAGAAAGGAAAGCCTCTGATTAACTCTGTTGTGCACTACCGACATTGGTCATTTATCGAGCTCTTATTAAGCAGAAGCTGTCCTAACAAAGAAGAAACTGCACAGATAATCTCTACTTGTACATCGCACCTATAAGACAGACCTTCTGCAATGGGTAGTATGCATTGTTTCCTTGAATATGCAAGCTGACAAGTAGCCCTCGGCAGTGGGATTTGCATCTTATACTAGACAACTCCGCCCATACCACGAACTCTACCTCATGCTTTGAGCGTGAGTCCGCCAACTAACGGTGCTACCATGAGAAAATGTAAGTTTAACCTACCGTTTTTCACCAATAGGGTCAGCATGGAATGTGACTGGGACAGATTTTGGGAACGCTTTATCTCTTAGCGAATGGTCGCTAGGGGTCGATAAACTTCCATGATGGTTTCTCACGTATTCTGCGGCCACCCAGGCCTATGCCAAGCATGACAGGACCTCATGCCCACCGAATCCGCGATACGGCTGCCAGGCGGCTCGCCACGTCATCGTTACGTCATCGCCGCTCCGAAGGTGTGGGAACTCCGTCATCATTGCCGACCAAATGTCTACCACAACTCGAGAAAGTCAAAAAAATGTTTTGGCCGAAAGTTTGCCTATAGGGGTAATCGACGGTCCTGATCACGATTCTGACACTTATTCTTGGCAACGACGCAATCTGGTTCAGAATGGCCCTGAAATTCCCTCAAATAAGTGTACATAGCGAGTCCAGTGGGAGAAAGACGTGGCTCCAAATTGGGGATAAATGGCACTACAGCTGAAAGTAAATGCCATAGTCGTGATCAGGGCACTGAATAACATATAAAGATCAACTTTCAGAAAAGCTAATGCTTAATGCTTAATGGTATGTGAAAATCGAAATTGTTGAATAGCACCGACTAATGGGGATAACTATTTAGAGTATGCCTATAAATGGTAGATATCCGAGTAAAATTCATAAACAGACATATATGGAAGCGAGAACAGCGAAACATAAGAAGAGCAAAACCTCGCACGTCGAGGGGAGTCGAACCAACAACCCCCACCCTCACTGTCCGACTGAGAATCTTTCCGCTATCCACTAGGCCATCCACTCGTTACAACTCAACACCGCTCCAATCGTTGAAGAAACCATTCCGACGAGCCGCTCAAAGCCGCTCACTCTTAATCACATGCCACAAGTAAGACCCCATTTGCGACTATTTTTCTCCTCGATTCCAATAGTACCTTTATAAGGACCCTCCACTCAGCAACTGGTCGAAGTTGCAAGTGATTTAGAGCTCACAGAGGCTCAAAAACCACCGGTTTCCGTAGGTTTCTTTTTTTCACTCTTTTTTGGTGTTTCCAGAGCCTCCTAGGAAAAATGAACGTCAGTTTGGTACTCCGTGCACGCGACCCTACACCCTGCAAAGAGTCGTTTTCAAAAAGCGCTTTACGTCCTGAAGGACATCCCTGGTGAAGGGATGTAGCGGAAAAGTTGTTAGCGGTGAAGAGGCACCTGGCAGCATTCTACAGGTGATCAGAACGAGTTCTAGGTATGAGTCCTGTCAGTTGTCATCACTTTCTGTCACAAATCATCGAAGTCCCGATCTCATCCTCTATATCACCTGCTAAAACAAACGCTTAGCTGCTGCTGTGACGCACTGCGCGACCTCGGTGTCTGCGCCGGTAAGACTCCAGCTCAGCTCACGTGCATCTTCGATCTAACAAGGAAGAGTATTCCACTGCAAATCCATTTACCTCGCACCTGGAAACAAATGTTCTTGAAAGTCAGTGTGCAATTTGTTTCCGTTCTTCAATGACGCTATAAAACCGGTTTCACTCAATCGCTCACTATGGCAGAACTACCTGTTGTCCTTATCGCATCAAAGCATACAGCATATATGACACCAGTCGGATCACCCGGCTACCGCCGGATGCTCCTCCTTCTTTGTCACTGCTTCGCCGGGCCGGCCTGGCTTAGCCAGGCACTCTTTCCTTAGGCGAGGTAGAGTGTGCAAAATACTCCTAACCGTCGCAGTGCATTTTCCAGCAAAATGTGGAAAAAATAATTGAAAATAGCTCGAGCAATGGGTTGAAGTTGAATCTGGCCAGAGGATCGTGCAACATACAGCGCTTTGTTACTTCCGAAATTCTAA